GAATCCTATTTAAGAAAAGTTTATTGTCGTTAGTATTGTTTTTTGACTCCACTTCTTTTGAAGCGTGTGTTTCTTAATGCAATCAGAAACAAGATTATTCACACATTCGGTTAGTCCTTACTTTATTTGTTCTGTTTTGTTTTCATCACGGCGATGACTTTGACAAACAAAAAAGTACTAGTTATCTAACGATGTGTAAGGTGATTGTCGTTACGCGATCATTAATCTTTGATTTATAATATGCTCATTATTTGTTTGTATCCATTTTTAGCAAATTGCTAAATGTAAATATGCGAAGTACTTATGAAGTCGTGGAAACTAGTACAATCACTTGAGTCAGGAAAGAGATAATGTGTGACTTCGAGTTGTCAATTAAATCCTTTATGGAAATGGCAAACCAATTCGAGAAATTTCTATCAAGATTGTGAATCCTATTTAAGAAATATATTACCATTGGTACTATTTTTCGGACTCCAGTATAAAGTTAAGTATCTCTTCCTACTTACTCTAAAGCTCGTGTTTCTTAATGCAATAAAAAACAAGATTATCCACACATCCGGTTAATCCTCCACGTATATTAAGACAGTTACCTTAGTTGCTACTGTCATTAATGAATATATATATATATATATATATATATTCATCCCGAAAAATAAAATAAAATCTATCACGAGTATGCAAAAATCTTAATAATGCAGTAAAATAAAATTTATTTTGTTTGCTTCTTATAAGTAATAAAAGATTATTCATTTCTAGAGCAATAATTGATGTGACATCTATTTTTGAAGTGGATGGAAATGCCTCTGAAACTTTTTGTTTTTAATTTGTTTGCCAAATGTTTAAGCTGACTACTTCACAATATTTAAAACCAACAAAATGTAAAATAAGATCCAATTGAGCAGAAGATAGAGACGTATAATGCGAAGATAATAGCCAAGCAAAAAATAAGATTTCTTTTATTTAATAATTAATACATTTGAAACTAATTTAACCAATTACTAAACGATTACTATCATTATCTCCATTATCTTTTGCGAGTTTTCATTAGAATTTTTTTTGGCTATATTACCTTATTTCTTATAGTAATTTTGTCAAGACATCTTCATTACGTCGTACTTGATTGTATGCTGTTATAATTGTCCTGTTGATGAAGCCACATCATTTGGGAGTGAAATTCTCTCGAGACATGTTTGTCAAACAAAATTTGAATAGTTTAATCGATGTAATTGATGAAATTTTAATTCTTTTTTCACTTAATTCTTTAATACTTACCAAAATTACAATTCCCATGAACTATCAAACTATTCTTGCTTGGAACAAATCAAAATCATATATAGAAACAAAATCAAAGAATCCTATGCTTGGTTCCAACCTTAAAAAAGAAAGAAAAAAAAACTCATAAATAAAATAAAATAGAAAGCAGAATGTTTTCAAGTGAAACTCCATTATCGACAATGGACAGGCAGAGCAGCTATTAAACTCCACTACCTTGTTTTGTTAAAGCTTAAATGCATAAATAATTGCACGTTTTCTCCAACGATTGGGTATTGAGGAAGTGAGCACGTAATCATTAATGGGGCCTGTAATTGACAATTTATTGGTAATTAATTTCAAATTGTAAAGTTAAAAAGGGTTAGTGACTAGTGGGGTACCACTATCATAAAACGGTTGATATTTTATTATTAAATAATTCTCCATGAAAATGATTGGAAATATCGTTAATATTTTTTAATTCAAGATTTGGGTTGCTGGAAAGAGTTGAGAACCAATAAGAGTGAAGTTTCCAAAATTTGATGTTTCCACTTCTTTTCGTAGTTACTTCCAAAAGGTAATCTAAGATTTTTTTAGGAAAATACTTTTTTTTTAATACTAGATTCGTTGATGGATCACTTTTGACGCTTGATCCCAAGTTTTACTCATTATACTTTACTACATTTTGTTATAAAATATTAAATTGTTCAAAACAGTATAGTAAACAATATTTTTTTGTACAATGTAACTTACTTATTTCGAAGTTGCTCTATGATTTAATGATAATTACATGATAATCATTGACGATTGGTTAACTACAATAAAATGTTAAGAACCAACTTGCTATTGAGGTAATCGATCGGTCAACAATGCAACTTTTCTTTTCTGTGTTCATATTTCTTGCAAGGGTAGGTGAAGTTAAAAAAAATTCAAGTTGATAATTCAAAAAAATCTGAGGGTCGCTAAGTCTTCAGAACAATATATTTTTGCTAAATCTTGCTTGACCAAGTTCTTTTTACTTCTTAGTGGGACTTCTCCCTGGGAGCTTTAGCACTCCTTATTCTTCTTTGGTAAGAAGTGAAGTTACTTAAACTATCTTTCGTCTTAGAATAAGAAGACCTATTCTTTTACAATCGGAAAGAACACCGAATCGGCTTTTCCGGTGTTATTATAATTCTTAATCAAGACAAGTTTTTAATTTCTACTGTTCATATTACTTTGGAGTACAAATATGAAAAGCACGCAAAAGTATTTAGGTGGGAACATCAAGAAATTCCGCGTAATTGAGTAGCATATAATAACTATTAAAACAATAATATTCTCTTGAAATCAGCTGGAATGTCTATATAAATATATTATCAAAATTTTGCCAATTGTTCTTATAATGTATTGGTAAATGTTGCATAATCTGGATTCTAGATAAGTCAATCTGAGAAAAATTATGAAAATCTTGAGAAATTTCTTTGCAATTAATTAATTGTATTTTCAAAGACTAGCCTTGGTTGGTTGAACTACTCTCGAATTATATTATAAATAACAACATGGTTTTGTTGAATTAATCTATGATCAAGAATTGATAAAAATTAAAATTTCATCAATTTTAAGTTAATATCGAGAATCGATTCTCATTTCTTGCTGTTCAATTTACTACATGACATGTCCTATTGAACTATTAAATCATGTTGAGCATGTTATTAATTTCTAGATTGTGCCATGATTTATCTAGTTCGGTACATCGAAGTTGTGGTCATCAAACTCAATCAATGAATCCACTAGTAAAAAAAGGACGAAATACGTGTAGTTTCCTGGAAAAATAAAACAATTTTTTTCGACAACCTGCAAAAATATTTTTGTTAGTGGTCATCAATCAGTGTGCACTAACATATATAATTTATTAAATGTCATTTTACATGCCACAATTACTTGGATTAAAAGAGAACCACTTCAAAATAATAAAAAAAGAAAATGATCATAAGATGTTGAAATTAAGCATAAAACATTAACAATAATTGCACTATTGATCGTGAATCTTCTATATGTTCGTGACAACGACGACTGCAACAGAAAAATTATGACATATCATCGTGGTGGAGGATTTCCATTTGTCTACTGAAAACTATGTGCTCTTTTACTAATTTTCGTCGTTTTTTTTTTTTTTTGATTTTTTTTTTGGGTTATTAATAAGGAAAAAATTCTTTTTAACAAAGTCAATATTAAAAAGAGTATACTACGTATATATTTTGCCATTTTTTATCATTAAAATAAAGAAAAGAATCAGAATAAAGTAAAAATGAAATATTATGTAATTTATAAATCAAGAGAAGTGAGAAGAGATATATCATATATTTGCCTAGCATTAATTCATTAAAGAAAACTTTTCCACTGATGTGGTCCAAAGGATTCTTCAACATTTTGATGCTCTTTTTATTCATTATCTACACGAAATATTTGAAATTAATTAATTATTTGTGGAATCGAAATGATATTTTAATAGATTTTTAAGTTTAAATTTAAGCCATGCTTAGTGCATTGACTCATTTTAGTCGATAATAATCTAGGAAAGCATCATTTAGATATATAAATCCTAATTACGAATATACTAACAAATCTCCCATACTTATAGATAGATTATGGAGAGAATTTAAGAGAAAAGAGTTCGGTTTTACAATAATGTATGACGATGTTATGATGATAAAAGTACAACTATTAATTATTAA